CTCCAGTTGGGTTTTGAATGTCTCCAGAGAGGGAGACTCCACGACCAGCCTGGCCTGTTCCAGTGCCACCTTCAGTGTAAAGAACTTCCTTATGCTGGGATGGAGCTTCTTGCATTTTTATTTATGGCCATTGCTCCATGTCCTGTCACTGGGCAGCACTGAAAAGAGTCTGGCACCATCCTCTTGACACCCCCCAAGTTGAAGCCCAAATCCTGTCCCTGCACAGGACAGTCCCAAGAATCACACTATGTGACTGCAAATAGCTGATCAGATTGTATCTCTGTCTTCCTTATGCTGGGATGGAGCTTCTTGCATTTTTATTTATGGCCATTGCTCCATGTCCTGTCACTGGGCAGCACTGAAAAGAGTCTGGCACCATCCTCTTGACACCCCCCAAGTTGAAGCCCAAATCCTGTCCCTGCACAGGACAGTCCCAAGAATCACACTATGTGACTGCAAATAGCTGATCAGATTGTATCTCTGTCATCATACAAATGCTTCATTCAGTTCAAGGCATGTAGATACTTCCCTGTCCTCCTTAAAGAAGGCAATGGCATCCCCTCCCAACAATTGCCCCAGTGTGGCCACACTAGCCTTTCAGCGCTCTGGAGGATGTAAATGAAAATGCTCGTTTGAGATCCACAATGGACCAGTTCTGACAAACAGCTCAGTCAGTGACATACTCTGGTACTAAAAGAAACAAAGAGCACTGAAATTTATCCCCTGGGTATCATCGCTGCTGTCAGATAGACCAGAATTTCAACAATATTTCTGAAAAATAACTAGATATTTCCTTTCACAGGCATCATTCAAATTTAGAGCTAAATGCAAACAGCCAAGATTAATCTGTCCACTAACAGCTCAAAACAAACCCGTTGCTCAGAATTTTGTAGGAGTTGCATTGGAAGCAAAAACCTCTGATGATTTTACTCTATGCCTGTGGCATGAAATATATTTCAAAAATATAACATCTGAAGAAGTTATATTCTGCCCAAATAGAGTTTATTAACTTTGAAGCATATAAAATCTCAGGAAAGAGCTGAAAACAATATATTAATTATATAGAAAATAGAAATAATGCTTTCAGTCCCAAATTTTCAGGCTATGACTGACATTCTGCTAAATGGATTTTTATCTCTTACCATTCTTCTCATCATCTCATTACTTCTTTGCAGAGCTACAAGCAACCGTCAGCTTTTATAGTTACACAGCATCCCTTACCAAATACTGTCAAAGATTTCTGGAGACTGGTCCTAGATTATCACTGCACTTCAATAGTTATGCTGAACGATGTGGATCCTGCACAAGTAAGTCCAGAGAACTGCTTAATTCAAAAGAGGAGTGCTAGTGCCTCAGCATTTCAGAACAGCTTTAGGATGTAATTAGTTTTATAAAACAACATTAAATACTAACATGCTAAAAAATTGATTTGTAGCTTGCGGATACACATAGGGATCAGACCATCAGCAGCTTCTCCACCAAAATGTTAATGCACACACACATAAGTGCATGTGCCCAGAATTTATTCTAAGATAACATGGTTTGGGAAGAGCTGCTAAAACCCAGAAATGATGGTAGTAGAATTCTGACTCAAGTCTGAAGCATACTAATAATAGCCAAAAGTCATAAACAGAAGCCAACAGCTATTCACTAGCCTGCCTGAAACAGGTTAATGACCTTGGTCTGCTTACCAAGGGATAGGTGTTCCCAGTGTGAAAATCTGTGTTGTGTTTTGTGCAAAATGACCTCATCGATAGCAAGGAGATAGGAACTAAACAAGATCGGAGACTAAGCATCCTTCAGAGGAGAAAACAGGGCAGTGAAACGTATAGGGGAATGTAATTACGTTACAAAAGAGTTGTGCATGCTGTACATGTTGTTTAGAAAATTGGAAAACCGAATCTACTGGTTTGGCAATTTAATCACTAGCATTAATCACTACGCGTCCTAGAGCCTGGCTCGCAACTGCACAGTTCCAAGTTCTTACACAGATATAATTTCCTTAGTTCCAACAAACTGCACCAGCTCTCTGCTGGAATAATGTGGTGGCAATCTGGATTCTTACTATGTAAATATTTGTTAATTATTGGTTATGAGCAATTGTCATTTCTTATAGCAGACTGCATGCCGTTTTTATTCTTGATATCATCAAGAATCTTTTTAGCTTTCGTTGAGTCTCATTTCTTTTTAACATCAAGAATTTGTTTTTAAAAGATACTAATCTTCCATTTGGTCTTTCAAAGGAATGTATAGGAATTCCACACACCATTTAAAAGACTGAATTTCTGATTCCAAGCCGTTCACTGTCTACAGGGAGAAAAAAATAGAAATGAAAGACAAAACTTTTATTCATGAATCTAAGATTATTTTCCGAGTGAATAAGGAAAGACTCGAGGGAGTCAGACTGTTAGGGACTGCTGAACAGGGGGTTTTTTTAATTTGTGGGCTGTGTTTTGAATTTACAATAGGGCATGGCTATTTCAAGCATTTATTAGCCTCACAGGATTTAAAAGCTATTGGGATATGCAGTTAATGCACCTGCCTCCGCAGTATGTTAAGCCTTTTACCTCTAACGTGAGTAACAATCTTTTCATTAGGAATAAATCTCAAAACCCTCAGAGCAAACAGAAGTGGAGAGAGGGCAGAGCTTATTAAAAACACGCGTTGCATTCAGATTTATTAATAATGACTGTTATCATTATTATTTGTGTATATATGAAGTGTTTACAGTTCTGTTTAGATATTACCATTTATGTGGATTGTTATGCTCTATTGGGAAATGAAATTCAACCCTTCACAGTGACTCTGACTTAAAGAGAGTCGCTAGCATCACTTGCATGCAAAATGCACAGACCTAAATGCATTTGGTTTCTTTAGAACTTGAAAGTCTTGACTTCCTAAAAGAACTCCAGCAAACAGCTCTGCTTATTATCACTTAAACATTTTTCAAAGGCCTGTTAGAACAATACTCCTATGTATATGAAAGGTGTGTACTAAACTGTGCATATGTTAAATGATCTGAGCTCTAGCATTTGTGCCAGTTGTATGCACTGTATTTTGCTATCATGTACACTAGCATACTTCATAATAAAAATCTGTGTAAGATTTACACAATATTTGGATCGGCAGACAAAATTGTGGAGAGGGAGGGGGCAAAATAAATGAAAATATATTTTCCTGCTTGAAATTTATGGGTTTAACTTGTTAAAGTGGTCTCCTGTAAATCAGACCCTGTTCTCCTTTTAATTGATGGAGTAAGTGATTATGTTTTTCTAAAATGTAGTCATCTCTAAACAGCTTTGTTGAGGACTAAGTGTTATAAGAAATGCAAAACAACATCTGGAGTAAATGTGATTTGTCAGCTCAGCTCTGGATCACCAACAGCAATGCAGCAGAATGAAGACCACAGCTGTTTTACTGAATGAGATAAAGTTCCAAATATGACATCAATGCTTCTGCAAGCAAACAAAATTTCATGAGTCCATATTTAATTTTGGTGAATGCTTACAAAAGCTACATGCTCAAACTGCTCTAAATATGCCTGGCAAAAAAAAGTCATTAGGATTTTTATGGGAAAAAATGGACAAGCAGAGTCTAGCTTTAAAAAACTCCATGCAAAGTGTTGATTTAATCTTTAAAGTATTAACACAGATGATAATTGGTTGCTGGATTAAGCCATCAGCATATTATTAGACAATAAAATTGTGCAAGATAGTGGTAATATTACTTTGATGATTGTTAGATACATAGAAATAATGTTTTCTGAGCAGTTAATATTTTCAGGCGTCATAAGATGAAATTGAGCAGTTGTTGAAAATCTAAAGCAATGCAGTTATTAGTCAATATCATTGGTCACAGGTGAAACAGATGTGAAAGTTAAGTCATGAGTTTTGAGAATTGATGCACCATTCATAGTTCTCATGTAGCTTGAATTATTAGTAGCTTTTCAGGGCAGTTGGAGATACCAGGCCTTTGGTCTTTAGGCCCCACACTGTCTCCAGGATATGATAAAATTTGTCAGCATTTCCCTGTCTTGTCATAATGTATTGCAGGATTGACCTTGAGTGTCAGAAATATGTTACTCCAAATAACAGCGAATGGTGAGTAGCAGCAAGAAACAGTATGTTCAGTTAAGTGAAAAGGTCTTGTAAAACCAGAGTTCTCCAAACTGGTGGAAGATGGTGCACCACATATTTTTTAACAATACTATGTGAGAAGTAACAAATATATTGCAGATTAAAATCTAGGAAAGTATATTGAGGCAGCATGAAATTCAAAGCGATTAACTGTATTCTTTTGTGTTTGTGGTATTCTACAGCTATGTCCTCAGTACTGGCCAGAAAATGGAGTACACCGACATGGTCCTATTCAGGTGGAGTTTGTGTCAGCTGATTTAGAAGAAGACATAATCAGCCGGATATTCCGAATTTATAATGCAGCCAGAGTAAGGATGTTATTTGCAAAACAATGGTGTCTCAGTAGATGAGTTGGCTCTGCTCAAATCAAAAAAATGAAAGCTAAGCTTACATAGAACCATTCTCATTTTTTCAGCTTATTTATTTGAAAGCAATGGTGCAATACTGAGTCACACCATAATCAATGAGGAAAAAAGCCTTCTATGTATAATATAAGTAAAAATTACTTCAATGCATATCTCAAGTGTGTTAAATGCAAATGAAATAAATGCAGTATTCAGATAGTATGGTAGCCAAGAAAGGCTGAAATCAGTGCTGTTTTCAACAGTTTGAAATTAGCCATCTTGCATATTTGGATCCTGTGTCATGTGAAGAAAGCTGTGCACCATACTAGGCATGTTTTTCAATACCAGTCCCAGGCTTTTAGTGAAGATCCTGTCCCACTAACCACGCTTCATAAAATATGTAAGCAATTCAGAGGGGCAAGTACGTTCTCATATCCAGCTTTTGTGCTCCCAGTAAGTTGACAGAAGACTAAACGAGGCATGTCTTTCAAGCTGAGTGGAAAAAAGATTCCACCACAGACCAGGCACACTTCCCATCCAGGGAGCCTTTGCAATAGGCTGGTATCAATCACCAACGAGCTGTAGCTAGGAATAAGCAGCACACCCTGCTGAAAAAGTGAAGAACTGCTGTGAGATCTGGTAGCTCTCAGGATGGTGAAAGACCCCCAAAAAAAACCCAAAGACATGCTAATATCCAGACAGGGAGGCATATGGTGTGCTTTAAGATCCTTTTTTAATGCTATGAAGGCCTGGTATTAGCAGTTAATGTGGCAACATAAAAACATAACCTCCAGCAGTGTTAATGTGAGCCTCAGCATGCGCTGGGTCTGGCTGACGAGCTTTGGGAAGAGGGGCCATCAAATGAAAGAAACTGGACAGGAAATCAGTAAATTTCAGATTTTGACATAAAACAGGCACAACCTATTGGATAACATACCTAATGCTGCATCCACGTTGGTTTAGTCCCATATCATGTTAATGTTACATTCTCTCTATGAACTCTTACTCTAGAGAATAGAACATAATGTCAACATTTCTGGTGTATGGTTCATTTTAAGAGTGGCACTAAAATGCCCTCACTTTGCACAGAAGTGGCAAATCCTAGACCACAAAACCAGTTTTCATGTGCGTGTTTATTATGCCCTTTTCAAAGGACTGTAGTTTTCTGCCACTAACACTTGTTCGGTGTTCCCTTTTTATTTTAAATCACCATAAAGCAACTGTTCAGTAACGTTTCACCAGAGGGGTTCTGACTGCTGCAGTAGAACACAATAAAATAAAATATAGTTAGATATTTTATAAGTCAGAAACATCTAAGGGTTCTATTTGGTTTTTTAACTGTTTCCTGTTTCAAAATACCTTGAGAGGTTTTGACCTTTCTTGTAAAGAAAAGACAGAAGCACATAAACATTCTTAAAAATGCTGAAGCATATATATGAAAAAGGTATATAATTGAAGTTGTGTTGCAGCTCCCTCTTCGCCAGCAAGTTCCTGCTATCATGTTAATTAACTACTTGCTTGATCATGCAGCTGTACTATTGCTCTATTCTAGTCTATTTGTATAGCACTCTGTTTAAAAACTCTTGTTCTAATAACTCTGTTGGAAATTAAAAGTCATAAGTCCTCAAGGGCAGTTGAAATTACATTAGCAGTTTGTCAGCAATCATCTGCTTGAACAACTTTCCTCACTGATGCAAATATCTAAATTACGTACCCAAAAAGATTGCTGTTATTTTTCCTGCTTTTGTCTGATCTCTACAGCCCCAAGATGGCTATCGCATGGTGCAGCAGTTCCAGTTCCTGGGATGGCCCATGTACAGAGACACTCCAGTTTCTAAACGCTCCTTCTTGAAGCTCATCCGCCAAGTGGATAAGTGGCAGGAAGAATACAACGGGGGAGAGGGACGCACAGTTGTACATTGCTTGTAAGTGCTGGAAATGGAAGAGAGAAAGTAAGGAAATACTGTTACACAATTTGTACCAGGTTTTCAGGGACTTGTGAAGAGGCAAAGGGGCATCTATCTAATCTGGAACTGAATAAACAATACAACTGTTCATTCAAAAGCTCTGAATGCAAGAGGAATTGTATAATTTTTAATGTAGATTCATGAGTTTCCCTCTCTGTCCTTTCTTAGACCCCTATGAAAAGATGATGGGTACAAATCTATTTTAGATAAAAATGCCCAGTGACTTTTGCAAATGGAAAAATTACATATTTATTCAGAGTAAATCAAAAGTGTACCTTCAGAACAATGGACCTTTTGTTTCTACAGATAAGAACCACAGAAGTATGTAGTGTTGGAGGAGTGATTCCTGTTTCAGACATAAAGCACAGAAGTAGAAGTGGTGTGATAGACCAGTTAGGAGGATCCTGTAATTGCCTTACTTTTCTCTAATAATGGTACATGTTTTTGTCCTCCCATGACTGTGTGCTCCACTGATGCAGACTCTCATGCACTCTGCCACCATCCTTCGTTTGATATGGTTTACTACTTGTACGTGCTGTTTGCTCTCAGGAGTAGCCAATCTTTTCAGGCCAAGTCTTCAGTGTTTGAAGTGGCATCCCTTTTCCTCTCATCATCTGTTTAAGGGTGTTGCCGTGATGGAGAAGGGACATACTAAGAGGAAAATCACATTCAAAAGTTGGGAGCCCATGTTAGAATGATGGAGGAGAATCTAAGAGTATATTAATAATTCCCACTATCACTGACCTTGAACAAGTCATTGCTCTTCAGTTTCCCCATCTGTAGAATGGGGATAATAATACTTTCATCAAAGGAGCATTGTGCAGTGTGATTAATTAATGTTTTGAGATCTTTAGCTGAAAAGACCCTTTTGAAGTGCAAATTACTGTTATCTCTGAGGTGGCTGATGATATTAAATAGTTGTACAACATCACACATGCGTCACTTCCAGGCAGCAAAGAAAGAAAAAGCCCTAATATAATCCTTTTAAATGACTTTATTTTAATTAAAATTCTCAAAGAGTCCCACAATATCAGGCAATGTTTTGGCAGCACAGAGCATTCTTTTCATAGTGCCTGGATGTGACAGATGTGCGACGTTGTATCTTCCTTTGAAAATCAACCATTTGTGAAGCTGGTTTGAAAGACCTGCTACCTAACTAGGCTGCACTCTGGTAATTATTAAGGTTTATTATTTTTGGTGAAGCGCAGCCTAAAGATTCTGATTAGAATAGCTGTAGAAATAATGGGGTTTCCAGAAAGAAAGAGATTCTCTTGACGATTAAAAATAGCCAGGGATAAAGTATTATTAAATACTGTATTTGATCTTGCATTTGAACATTTGTGCCAGGCTTCTTTGTTAGCAAGTCACTTCGGGTTCTCATCCTCTGATACTGTGGGTGGAGGTGGAATACATACACTTCTAAAAGCAGCCCTTGCCAGGCAGCTGGCCCCTCTGCCAGCTGCCAGGGGGTGAGTGCATCATCCAGGGGAACATGGCAGCACCACCCTGTGCCATACCAAGTGTGCAACTGCCAAAAGGACTCCCACAAATGAGACTTCTGGTGCTTCTGCTGTTCCTCTGAAATGCCTTTGCATCCAGGAGGAAAGCACCAGGATCTGGAATAAAAGAACACAAAGATTCACTTTCTCTATAACATTTCCAGGCCTGATGCTCATTAACACACATAAACCATGTGTGTTTACAGTGCAAAGCAGTGTTGAACTGAACTACAAAAGTACTTTGTCCTTATTTTAGCATCCTCTTTGTGCTGTCTCAAATGTTCACTGAAGAGTGGTGCAAAACTCAGCCATTCAGTTCCCTCCAGGCTGTCAGCCTGCTGAATTCTGAATCATAGCTTTGAGATCTTTCAGCATGTTAATTCCAATTAAAAATAGTGTTTTGCCTAGAGTTCAGCAGCCTTTTGGGCCAGGAATGTTCTGTGGTTTCTCCCTGCTGGAACTCATGCCTTCTGTAACCATCCCTGGTGCTGTAGAAACTTGTAACATCGAGTCAATTGTAACAGGCATTTAATCACTTTTATTGTAGGAATGGAGGTGGCCGCAGTGGGACATTTTGTGCAATCAGTATTGTTTGTGAAATGCTTCGACATCAGAGGGCTGTTGATGTATTCCATGCTGTGAAGACACTGAGGAATAATAAGCCTAACATGGTGGACCTTCTGGTATGAGCTTTTTAACTGTACCACTAAATAGAAAATGCTCCTTTTTCTCAGAAGGCTCAGTAAGATTTCCAGGATTTGCAGTGGGAGTTGTTCACTAAGCAAGCAAGTCATTTTCAAAGGGGATAATGAAGTCACTTCACTTGTAAGAGTATTTTTACACTGCTTTCTTCCCGAGGAGACTTTGTCTCTGTGCGTTTGAATTTTTTAAGAGTTTTAAACTTTCAGACTAACATCCTTATTAATTTTCTTTTCTAGCAGTCTGAGCCAAGTGGAGAGCAGCCCTTGCATGGTAGAAATAATAGTTATGTAAAATGAAATGCCAGATTTTCAAATTATATATTTTATAAATAGCTTAATCGCCTAATATTTATCAAAGCCATGAATTTCAGTTTGACATCCAGAATATTGCATTTAATTACGGTTGCTCTATCTCATGGAAAGATTAAAGAAGTTCAGAAACAAGGGGCCATGTGCAATTATTTTCCTAGAGAGTGTTTTATGAGGTTTTTTTTCAAATGGAGAATTGCTGAAGTGCCAGCTGCTATGCCAGAAGAGCTGCAGAAAAGCTTAAACCAGCAGGTTCTTACACTCCAGTGTGTAGTTTTGCACTTGGAGATGGGTGTAGTGGATACCCTGTTCTGAAGCCTGGGCTATAAAAGACACTGTTTTACAACATCCTGCTGCAGAGATGGCTGCTTAAGAGGCAGCTGTATTTGATTTAATATCATAGGCAGGAGGAAGCAGCATCTGTGCACTTTCAGGGATGCTAACCCAATCCAAGCCAATTTTGCAAGCTTTGGTTAAACAAGTTTGGGTCATTTCAGCAACTTTTATACAGCACACCCAGGGTGAAGCAGGAGGCATCTCACGGAGCTGGTCCAGCCTCATGTAATTTTAGGAGATCCTCCTCTCTCAGATGAGCTGATGAGATCCAGCTGTGAAACACTCTGGAGGATGGGCAGAAAGAGTGAGGCTTTCAGGTGCAAGTGAAGATGGGGAGGGATATCCCTCTCCCCACCACATGTATCACTGCACCTCATCTGTCATGTGGAACAGGTCCCACCACATCTTCCACTGCATCTCTTCTATTCCATCTGTGAAGTCTGTGAAGTCCCAGACCCTCCCCTAGCCCCTGCTCTGGCCAGGCACATGGGAAAAAGCCAGATGTTGTCAGCTGTGCAAAGCAGGGAGGTAGTTTATAAGCAACACCATAGGGCTGTGAGCCAGCAATGTGGAACTGTGAATCTTGTATCAAGTGAGAAACTATCAAGCTTTCACAGTGGTGTGAGGGAGCAGCTAAGTTGGCTCCTCTTCCTCTAGTTTATATTCTCAGGAGGAGAGTCGTCATGCTGAGAACCATACATTTTTATTTCCTAGATATTAAGAAAAATGTCCTACTTCTTCATTCAGGTAGTATAGTTTAGACAGAGACTTGGCAGGCCTGCTGTTCTCCTTTCTCCCAGAGCTTAAGTCCACAGAACTCACTGATCTCTTACTCATTTATTTTATAGAAATAAAATTACAAGTGTGAAGATGTACAGTTGAAGAAAATGCTCTCTATAAATTCCCGTTTGTGACAGTTCTCCAGGTATAGATTTGTCAGGCAGCTATGTCCATTTTTCAGAAGAGAATTTCTTAATCAAAACCTAAATGTATTATTTTAGAACATATAAGTACCTTTTAGTAAATTCAGGGTGGTATTGAGAATGTCTGGAAGGCATTGAAAGGCCGTATAAGGCTTTTTTGTTATTATTTGGACATTTCAAAGCATTTGTGAAGGAGATCAGTATTGTTTTCCTTATTTTAAAGACAGAGGAACAAATGCAGGGGACAATCAGGATTTTTCCCATTATTGCATATTGCACTGACAGAGCAGAGTTGGAAAGACATCTATCTCTTCAGGCTTGGTCTGCTACCCTGTAGGAACAAATACTTGAATTAGCAAGGTTTCCATTTCCATGTAGATTGCTTCATGGTAAAAGAGAATAGGAACACTTCAGTTCTTTTCCTGATCGTGTTACTGATTTTTTCCTTTATGACCTATCTTATATTTATGTGTCTTTGCCTCAGTTTTCATATCTGAAAAATGTGAACAATTATATTCATATACCTTTATAAAATGTTATGGTAAAAGATGAAATGCTCAGAATTATGACAGTATTTCACAAAAACAGTTTAAGACTGTTTTATCAATACCTGTTACGCAGTTTCTGGCTAGATTAAAGGCAGTATTGCCATCCATACTTAGAGATTTGTCTCTAAATTTCATTTGAAACCTTTGGTTTTCCTGCCAGTGTAAAAATCTGAATTCCACATCCATACAGTATGGAAATCTGTGAAATTTTTCAGCCGTCATACAAAGGTAACACATGATGTTACAAAATGCCTATTACAGAGCACCCAAATCATTTTGTGACAAATGTTATCGGACCTACCCATAGGTGTCCCAGAAAAAAATTACAAATATACATCTCTGAATCTAGCTAATCTAAAGAGGTTTTTAATATCCACCATCAAGTGAATAATAAAAATGTACAAAGGACACTCATGAGTGAACACAGTGGGAAATAATATATGTCTGCTCTTTAAGACAGGTATTCAGTTTACTCAAAATGACAGTTATTCTGCTGGATCAGTAAATCATCTTAAAATGAGCATGGAAGAGTGGAAATGGATGAGATCTCTTGTTTTGATCTGTTACGTAGTTATGGAATAATTTCCATTTATTTGGAAGCATATGCAATAAAAGCAGAAAAGAAATTTACATAATACTCCATTCTTTCCTTTCTTCTTTATTTTTTGTTTTCTCATTCTGAAGAAGACATGAGCAGTTTATGGAACCTTGCAGGGTCTTAAAACCTCATATACAACACATTGAACACTTAAGTGATACACCTCAGACTTGTTTTCTCTTGAAGTCACAGCTCTCAACAAAAGAACTTGGAAATAGTCTATGCTTGTTAATGACTTTTTGATTGTTGTAACAGTATACAGCCTTTTACATGTTAAGGTGGACTCTCTTCTCAGCTAAAATGTAACCCAAAACCACAAGTACAGGCCAAAAGAGTTAATCCTTCAAAGCGTTTGCTTCAATGAAAGGAAAATATATCTAAAGTGTAATTGTAATCTTCCTTCTTGTGATGTTGGGTTTGGGAAGGCTGAATGCTGTCAGCTAGTTAAGTCTGTTGTTATTCCTAAATGACAATATGTGCTTCGTTATCTATTATTAATTGATTAAAGTGCATGAGAGAAATAGGCTTTTCAGTATCGGACATAGCCATAAAACTGGCAGGTGTTTCCAAATTGAATGTTCAAAAGCCAGAGCCCTTGGATTCAGGGAACCCACACCTACTATTTCTTTCAGCTTTTTTGTTTCATTTAAATGTTTGTGGGATTACTAAGTTTTGCAAGTAGCAGGAAAACAGAATAGTGTGTGCATACACAAAACTGTGAAGTCATCAGTGACTGCATCATTCAAAAGTTGCAGAGTGGACAAAGGTCAGTCAAAAGCATTTGGTCTCTCCATTCCAATGCAGATGTGAATGGGGCCAGCTCATGGCCCTGTGTCCCTGAAGCATGCAAACTAGGTTTGCATCCCTCAGGAAGGGGATTTCGATGGGATTGCCTCTTTTTCCAAATACACAAAACTGTGAAGTCATCAGTGACTGCATCATTCAAAAGTTGCAGAGTGGACAAAGGTCAGTCAAAAGCATTTGGTCTCTCCATTCCAATGCAGATGTGAATGGGGCCAGCTCATGGCCCTGTGTCCCTGAAGCATGCAAACTAGGTTTGCATCCCTCAGGAAGGGGATTTCGATGGGATTGCCTCTTTTTCCAAACAGTTGCAAGTAAAACCAGCAGGTCTGTCTTTGAGGCACAGGGTGGGCACCTGAAAACTTGGCCTGGGTGACGGGAGAGCTGTTAAGAGCCTACCTTGTGCATCACCTTTAATTGCTAAAAAGTAATTGGAGTTAATCCAATTAATTTAGCTCAAGCCTGATCTCACAAGCCATTGCACTAGGAGAGGACAGTATCTCAGACTGGGTCTGGGCTGCACATAGAGGACTAACAGTAAGCAGCTCTTGCCCTGAAATGTAGCAAGTGTATGAATAACATTTAAAATAAAACTTACGATCTGGGAAGTACTAAACACTGGGTCTATTTTAAGATAAACATTTCCAGGGAGGAATTTCAATTACTCCAATTCTGGTAAAGTGCTACATTAGCATTTTGACAGATGACAGAAGGGTTGCAAGTCAATTTCCTTACATGCAGTCAATTTTTCTCATGCAAGTGTATTAGAGCAGCTAAATACACATCTAACATGAGCAGTACCATAAGTTACTATGTGCAGTGTCTATTGTCTGGTTAATATAAAGATTTTCTCATCTGAATATAAATTGGATTTGCAAACTGGTTCTCATTGACAGCAGCTGATAGTAAATAAATAATTTTAACAGAAGAGAAATATTGATCCCCATAATTAAGTTTCTTCAATAACTGACTTTGTGTTTTTCTTTTGATTTTTCAGGATCAATACAAATTCTGCTATGAAGTGGCTTTGGAATACTTGAATTCTGGATGATTGTATAAACAGCACAGACAAAGTTCCTCCTTTCACCACCACAAACAAAGCAAGTTGCTTCATGATATCTGTCTAAATGAGATGAAGACTTCTCAGTGTTATGCTTATACTGCTTTGTATAATTGGCTCTTTTTAAGAGCCCAAAGAGATGTTTATAAAACTGCTTGCACTGCCCGTTTTCCACTATAATGCCGCTGCTTGGCACCCATATGAACGTACACCAAACCACATGGCAGTTGTTGAACACCGTATTCATACATAGCCATTGATGTGGTGAAGCAGCATAGTCCTCTGGTAAATAAGAGAGCACAATTATATTCTTATGAAGGAATTTGTACTTTTCTGTTATATTTCGTTGCCCGTGATTCTCAGTTATTGTCACAGCCTAGTGTACATTTCTGTTCTGTGGAGAATGCTGTCTGGCATTTTGATAATATATGATTTTAGTTATATTTGTATTCTAACACGTGCATAATAAATTAATCATATGTAGCTTATCTGAACTAACAGAAAGACATGTACCAAATCATGTTAACTTTGTTGAGTTGTAATTTCTATCCACTTTGTACCATTTCAGAGAGAGAAGCTTGATAGAAATACAGTTGGAAAATGCAAAATACAGGATGCTCAGATTAATATATCCAAAGCTTTTTCATTTGTTTATATTGTAAATATTTTTTGATTTCATCAAATTATTTATTCATTAAAATGATTTTTTTTGTGAAGCACAGTGAGTGACAATCATTTTTATTAAGCCCTGGAAATGCTTACTGTATGATAGTGTAAACATTTGTTTACCTTGTATGGATTCTCAGCTCAATAAATAATTACATACATGATAAAATCTCGTTTAATTTTAATATCTCTTGGCATCTGAGTGCCTTCAACTAAACCTCTTTTCAGATTAAATCTAGTAACTACTGAGCTACCTCCAAAGCATGTTTATTGTGCGATCCAGTGTTGGCCCAGTCAATAGGGAGGTCATAGAATCATAGAATCATAGAATGGTTTAGGTTGGAAGAGACCTTAGATAATCTAGTTCCAACCCCCCTGCCATGGGCAGGGACACCTTCCACTAGGCCAGGTTGTTCAGAGCTCCATCCACCCTGGCCTTAATCACTTCCTGGGATGCCATATAAACAACTTCTCTGGGCGACCTGTTCCAGTACCACCCTCACAATAAAGAATTTTTTCCTAATATCTAATCTAAAACTACCTTCTTTTGGTTTGAAGCCATTTCCCCTTGTCCAGTCACTCCATGCCCTTGTATTCTTTCTCCATCTTTCCTGTAGACTCTCTTCAGGTACTGGAAAGCTGCAATTAGGTCACACTGAAGCCTTCTCTTTTCCAAGCTGAACAAACACAATGCTCTCAGCCTTTCCTCATGGGAGAGGTACTCCATCCCTCTAATCAACTTGATGGTCCTGCTTTAGACTCTCTCCAACAGGATGATGTTCTTCCTATGCTGGGGACCCCAGAACTGGATGCAGTACTCCAGGTGTGATCTCACCAGAGTGGACTAAAGATGTGCCATACTGGTACATAAAAGAGGTGAATTGTATGTTTAAAAATGCACATGCACAAATGCAGAACCTGAAAGAGGCTCTGCTCTGAAGAAACGATGATGTTGGTCTTACAGTATTTAGTCATCACAGCATCACTCTGCAGCCCTGGGCATTCCCTGCCATTTGCTCTGTGTCTGCAACTGCTGCTGCAGAAGGGTTGATGGTGCCCTTGTTCTTGGGAAGAATGTGAGGAGGAAGCAATTTCTCCTTTTAAAGATGTTCAAAGATACAAATACTAGAATGACTGGGGAGGGGAGTTATTAAAACTTTTGTGGAACTGCTCTGTTAGTAGAGCTGTTGTCAGTACTGCGAGTGGACAGGTTTACAGCTCTTGCCCATCCTGAGAATGTCTGTACTTGCCTTCCATGGTGTTTGGATGGTTCTCCTTTCTATGCAGTACTCACTGGTGTCTGAACATGCTGGGAATTGCCTCATGTTTATGGACGCAGAAGGTGCAGCAACAAAGGAGAAAGAAGGGAGAATGGGCCAGCCATGGTTTGCTGGATTTGCAGAACTTTGTCTCACCCAGAAGTGTCAAGGGGACATTGCAGGCAGAGCAACTGCTCAATACTGAAGCCTTTCAAGTCTATATGGGAAAGCCTATTCAAGGAAGTGCCAGACTGCACAGTATTTCAGCTCTTAAAACAATCTTTTTAACGTGCTAGCCATCTGGAATGGGGGCAGTATCTATATAAATGTATCAGTCACCATGTTTTGAAGACCTCTAAATCTAACAGATCCAGCTTGGACAGAGTGACTCACAGCTTGTCAATTCCCAGTTCAAAACCACTCCAAAATTAAGATCTGAAGACATGAGGATAGGTTTCCTCTGCAGCTGGAAAGCATCTCTTAAAATTGCTTTAAAATGTAGCTGGCAGGTACTGACCATTGCTATAAATTGCACAGAGGTACTGAAGAACTTAGGAAAAACAACCCCAGCCCTGAGAAGAATAATGATTCTTGGATAAACCTTGTAGCACTTCAGCCTGATGCAGAATGTGCTCTGATTCATTTTAAAACCCTAGTGTTAGGAAACAAAATCCAAACCTCTAATATCATATTCCTCACAACCAGCTTGACAGACCAGGTATGCCAGCCAAGCATGCTTCTTTGTAATAATTATGGGACCATAAAAAGTTGGTTCTGTGATCTATCCATTGAAATATGCATGGACACATCCAGTGTTTCAAAAAGTGTAAGTCAGACAGATAAGAGTGCCAAAGGAGCCCTTGGACAGAAGGTGATGCTGGCGATATGATCCCAAATGTGAATGAGATTGAAATGCAGCAAGAATCATGGGTATCTCTCTCGAGGACAGAGACTGCCAGTGTCAGCCAGACGTTATTCCAGCTGCTGTACTCTTGCAGACATACTTTGCACGGGTAGGTCTTGGAGGGTGAGGGGCAGAAGGCGACAAGGAGGAAAGAATTCTGCAGTGTTTCTTATTGTTTTACTGATACTACTCTTTCTTTTCCTAATTCCTCTGACATAGGCATAGCCAGAAGTTACAAAGTTTATGTTAGAGAGTCTGTGTTATGTTGTTCCAAAAGGAATTCTGTAAACTACAATGCCTTAAAACTGGAGCCAACTAAAGAAAGCACAGCAAGCAGCTTTGTGTCCTCATTCTCATACTACAGCTATCAATCAATACAAATGATAGAGAACTCCAGGCTTAGGTAAAACAGTATCTTGGCAAGAAGAAAAGAGAAATAAGGACTTCTGACAAAGATGGTCAGATGGCTGGAGCACCTCTCCTATGAAGAAAGGCTGAGAGAGTTGGGGTTGATCAGCCTGGAGAAGGCTCTGGGGAGACCTTACTGCAGCCTTTCAGTACTTAAAGGGAGCCTATGGAAAAGATGGGGACAGACTTTGTAGCGGGGCCTGTTGCAATAAAATGAGGGGTAATGGTTTTGAAAAAAAAGAGGGTCAATTTAGATTAAGTATTAGGAAAAAGGTTTTTACAATGAAGGTTGCAAAACACTAGAACAGGTTGCTCATAGAGGTGGTAAATTGCCCTGTGCCTGGAAGCATTCAAGGACAGGTTGGACGAGGCTATGAGCAACTTGATCTAATGGAAGGGGTCCCTGCCCATGGCAGTGGGGTTGGACTAGATGACATTTACAGGTGTATTCCAACCCAAGCCATTCTGTGATTCAGTACTTAGGAACAGAAAAATTTAATGAATCAGAAAAGAGGAGAAAGAAGATATGAACACGAGGGGCTGGTATTCAAGAAGCAGCATGGCATTTATGACAGTTATCTGGAGGGTGACATTTCAGAGGAGACAACAGAAAGAAAATGGCAGTGACAGTCATTGTAAGTGTTCATAAATCAACTTCCTTTTTCAGAAGAAACTTAAAACAATACAAGCCCAGTAGAGCTGCAGAACTTAGGGGGACATCAGTCCTAATTTGGAACAGAGGAAGGGATGTTTTCTTCAATCCCCTGGATATGAGGTATATAAATGAATACAGAGATACCTTGAATGCTCAGTCATATGTATCCCCCAACCCATCATCTCTCCAGGACTTGAGGTAGATGGGTTTTGCTAAACTGTTCTGAAAGAGCAGCAATGGGGATGGTGAGAGAGATGATCACATGCAGGTAATCTGTATTAACAGCAACAAAATGAGTCTTTCACTGGCAGGGTAGTTTCAGGGAGTACTAACAAGCTTAAGGACTACATCTATTAAGATTAAAAAGTAAAGCATAGAAAAAACTTCTTACCCAGCTGTACCCAGTGTGTCTCAAAAGGGTCTCTGTGCCACTAAGATTTGATCTGAAGGTTCTATGCAGCATCAAGACCACATTCATTTTGTGTTTCTCCTTCATGTAGTTAGGGCTTGTCTTTAATACATGTCTTTTCTTCTTATTTCACTGCATGTGACTGTTCCCCCAAGTCTAACTGCTTACTGCATATGTCCCATCTCAGTCCTTAAATAACATGTAGCAGACTCAAACAGACTTTTGTTCTTTGAGATGTAGCAACGAAGATAAACTGACAATTTCAGCAGCAGCTCTTCCAGGCATCTTCCTTTGGGGAGACCTGGAAACGCTGTAATGGCAGTAGCAAACCTAAAGCCCCTTGGCATTACTAACTCCAAAACACTCACAGCAGGATCAGCTGCTCAGTCTCCTTTGATAGTTGTTTTGTGCCTCCTCTCCCTCCACTCCCTCCCCCAAATCAAGTATGACAAAAGGAAACTAGGTGGTTTGAAAGTTTACTTGAAGTTTTACAGCCTCATTAGTTTTCTACTACAAAGGTAATTTGGTTTCTCAGCCTCTCAAAGCAACTTCTCCAAGCAGTTGTGCATTTGCTTTCAGAAACAGCAAGGTATGTAGGCAGATCACTGTAACAGGGTGATTTGTCATATCATTTTATATTTATTGTTGGTTTGACACTTATTTCATCAACTTGGAGTCTTGAACTACAAAATCTCATAGAGACCATATCTCATGCTAGACATTGGGTTTTATTAAAAGAAAAATTAAATTAGGAATAGAAAAATTTTTACAGCTTAGGTCTGTTGTGTGATGCTTATTAAGGAAGACTGTGACCACCATCATTTTTGGGGCACAGTACCACTAAAACCCAAAAGTGAAAAATAATGCTGTTTCTAATGGATCTCATTTGTTTGTTAGTATCTTAGACCTTGTCTATATACTGAAATTATAAGCTGATGGGTACATTTGCATTGCCTCAGCAATTCACTTGCTCTGCCTGCGGGAACCTTCTGTACACCACTGGCATGTGGCAGCTTGTTCTGCACACCCCCACTCAGCTGCCAGCACTCCCCTTCAGCATCCTAGCCCACTCTCATGGAGGAACCTTTCCAAAGTCTTGTCAACCATTTCCAAACTGCAACAAACAGCGAGAGTAAAATGCCTTCTTCACTCTTGCTGGATATTTGCAACCAGGCTTTTGTGGAGGACTGAAAAGGCAACTCCTGCTTTGGTTATTTCGCCAGACTCACCTGATCTCCTGCTCCAAGACTGAAAGCCACCCCTTGCTGACCCCACTTCCTCCAGTCTGTCCCTCCAGCTCCTCACCCACTTTCAGGGCAAGACTGTCACATCTCCACCTCCAAGGGGCCTCCTGGATGATGCATTGCCCTCTGGTGTTCCTGATTCCCTCCCAGACCTGTCACCACAGCATGTGATGATCTTTCTGGGTAATACAGCTTGAGGCATGTGGAAGGGATATTTGAGGCTGGAAGAGGCTGGGGTCTACAAACACCCTGCCATGATTTTGTTTAATATTGCTCATAGTACTTGATTT